CCCAAGGAGGTGTCACTTTGAGTTGAATCGACTTGACAGCAGTGAGTATAAAAGGCTGGGCACAGTCTGCCCATCACACACCAAGTGGGGTCATCCTATCATTCTCCTCTAATTTGGAAAACTGTCCTCAGCCAGCAGTTGCAGCCCCACTTACCATCCTTCACTGGAGAAGTCCCCAAATGAAATATTCATCAGAAGAGACCCTCCCTTAACCAGATGAAAGATGACAGGAGGCAGATATTCTCAGCACTGATACTTTAGCAAGCAGTCATTGTGGCAAGGAATATTTTTGTTTTTTTTGGGAGGCAAATCACATTGCTTTAAACCAGAATGGATTTATTGGTATGCACAAAGTATCTCTGTTGGGAAACACTCTTTTTGCTGGAGAACAATCTCCTGGGTTCATTCCCCAAAACCAACCCACTGCCTTTGAGTTGATTCTAACTCATAGCAACTCCCATCGGTTTTCTAAGGTAGAAAAATATATATATTTAATTTTTATTGTGATTTGGGTGAAAGTTTACAGAGCAAATTCATTTTCCATACAGCAGTTCATAAACATTTTGTTTCATGACATTGACTGCAATTCCCCACAATGCAACAGCTCCCCTCCCACTTCCTCCCTGCAGTTACATCTTCCCTGTGTCCTTCCCTCGTATGTACTCCTGCCCCCCTGAGCTGTCTCCTTGTGCAAACGCTGCCCTTCTGTTCTCCCACGATTGATCACTCCAAAGAGTATATTTACCTGATGAAAATGTTTACCCCAAATGCCTGTCTATTGTTTGGTTGGAAGCCACAGGAATGAGACCTGAATGGTAACTAGGGCCCATAGTCTCAGGGGTTAGCAAATCCGAACTTTTTTGTTTACATGACTTTGAGTTTTGTTCCACATTGTTCTCCCTCTCTATCCAGGATCTCCTGCACAGATCCCCCTCTGAGTGGTTGACAGTGGTAGCTGGGCACCATCTAGTTCTTCTGGTCTCATGGCCATATAGGCTGAGGATCACATGGTCTACCAGTCCCTTGGACTAATTGTTTCAATGCATATTTGGTTTTCTTCATTCTTCTTTGCTTTGGATAAGGAGAGACCCATCATTGCATTTAGATGGCCGCTTGCAAGCTTTTAAGATCCCAGTTGCTACTCACCAAAGTAGGATGTAGAACTATGTTTTTGTGTAGTATATTATTAAGGCAGTAAATCTTCAAGGAAGCACATTGCCTCATTTTCTTTACATGGAGAGGCTGGTGGGTTTGAATCGCCAACCTTCTGATTAATAGTCATTATGCCACCAGAGCTCCCTTGGGTTCATTCAGTGACCTACAATTTTCTCTACTACCTAGGTTTGGAAAAGTAATGAAACACATATAGGTTTACCCCCTTTCCTCAGAGAAGCAAAGATGCATTCAAGGATAGGCAGGCCCCTCTGGGAGGGAATGGCTGCCCTATCTGCACTCACACTCAGAGGATACCCCTGACACCCCGGGTGTATCAGACTCATCGTACCAAGGGCCAGCAATGTCACTCCTGGGTCTTCTCACTTGAAGGTGCTGCTGGACACACACCTGACTTGCACAGGCCCAGGAATGAGGTAGGTATGCTATGCAGAGGTCTGCACCTAAAATACGTATTCCTGGCAGCCCTTGACCCAAAGTTTTCCCCTCTCACTTTTGGCTCCACCCCATGGTGCTCATGTCCTCATGCAGACACATGTGGACACGACAGTGCAAACATCCCCACTACTTAGCCCACATCCCTCATCATCAGCTGGCCATGACCAAGAGGTGTGCACAATGGACCTGGATCTGGGAAGAGGGCCATGTAGGTCCAAGCAGTGGCTTTTGGGAGGGTTAGAAATGAAATTCAGGATCCTAGGAATCCAGAAGGTGCTGTAGTGGTGTAGTGGATAAGGCATTTGGCTGTCAACCAGAAGGTCAGCTGTTCAAATCCACTAGCTGCTCCATGGAAGGAAGATGGGGCAATCTACTTCCATAAAGAGTTATAGCCTTGGACACCCAACGGGGGTCACTATGACTCAAAGGCAGTAAGTTTG